CTACTATAAATGCCCTCGGTTGGACTTTGCAATTATAGTGTTATCTTGCTTTTTGTTGGTTTGCAGCCAGTCAGACGTCGGCCATTTCCTGCAGTTCCATGATGAGGTCCAGGTCGGCCCTCTGAGGGTCTTTGTTCAAGTGTGGATTGGGGTAGATGACTCTAGGCATTAGTAGGCCAATTTCCACAAGGATGATGGCTTCAATGCCATATGTCAGACGAAATGGGGTCTTCCTAGTTGAAGTTCGGGCGGTCGTCCGATAGGCCCAGAGGACGTTTGGCAATTCCTCTGCCTAGAGGCCCTTGGCGGTTTCTAGCTCGATCTTGATGATTTTCAGCAAGGAGCGGTTGGTAACCTCCACTTGACCGTTGGCTTGAGGATGGCCTAGGAAAGAGAAACAAGTTTGGATGTTAAGTTCTGCATAGAATCCCTTGAATTTGGCGTTGTCAAACTGCTTGCCGTAGTCCGAGACAATGGCTTAGGGAACCCTGAAACGACACATAATGGACTGCCAAATGAACTTAGTGGTATTCTGCTTAGTGACCTTGGTAAGAGGTTCCGCTTCAACCCACTCGGTGAAGTAATTGATGGCGTCTACAACAAATTTTACTTGCCCCCTGTCGGTCGGTAGGGGACCCACGAGATCAATTCCCCATTTAGCGAAAGAGCAAGGGCTGCTGAGCGTGATTAACTCCGTTGGAGGGGCGTGGGGGATGTTAGCAAAGCGTTGGCATTTGTCACATTTCATCACAAAATCAGTAGCGTCCTTACTAAGTGTGGGCCAAAAGTAACTAGTGCGGAGAATTTTATGAGCCAGAGATCGTCCCCCAGAGTGATTCCCACAAACTCCCTCATGTATTTCTCTCATTACATAGGTTGCTGGGTCATTATTGAGGTATCTGAGATATGGTCGTGAGAATCCCCTTTTATACAAGGTGCTACTGATAATGATGTAATTCAAAGACCGAGTCTTGACTTTGGCAGCCTCAAGTTTGTTTGCTGGAAGTGTTTCCCGCTCGAGGAATGTGATGATGTCTTGGGCCCATGGGGTAGGTTCGTCCTGGAGCCGGTGAATTGCTCGTTGATTTGGGGAGACTACTGGATGGGTCAAGTACTCAACTTGGACTCCATGGCAGAGGTCTGATTGGTCTGCTGAGGCTAACTGTGTCATTTCGTCTGCTTAGGAGTTTTCTGACCTAGGGACATGTTGGATACGAAAGCTATTAAAGAGACGGGTCAGAGGAAAAGCAATGTCCCTGTATAATCGTATGGCTTATTCCTTGGCATCAAACTCGCCGATTACCTAGCCGACTACCAACCGAGAATCGCTAAACACTTGGAGATAATCGACTCCGATATCTTTAGCCAGTCGGAGACCGACTATGAGAGCTTCGTATTCGGCCTGGTTATTACTTGCTGCAAATAGGAATCAGAGGGCGCATTTGAAGTATTCACTCTCTGGGGTAGTGAGGATTAAACTGGCTCCGCTGCCCTCTTTGCGGGATAAACCATCGATATAAAAAATCCAGGAATGGGGGTCTTTCTCCTCAATAGGGCCGTGAGCTGGTGAGGGGGGAGCGCATGCGGGATAAAATTTGTGAATTCCAAGATAAAGTCGGCGGCAGCCTGGCCTTTGATGGCTGTTCGTGGTAGGTAAGAGATGCCGTATTGACTTAGTTCAACGGACCACTGCATATGCCTGTCTGATGATTCTGTTTAGTGCATGATCTTTTCAAAGGCTGGTTGGTGAGAATCACTACGGAATGAGCTTGGAAATAGGGTCGGAGGTGTCGGGAGGCGATGACTAGGGCGAGAGCCATTTTTTCTAATAGAGGGTAGTTCTGTTCGGCTTCCCTGAGTGCGCAGCTGATGTAGTAAACTGGGCGTTGTACGGAGCCGTCTTTCCTAATGAGGGCAGCACTAACAACGGTGTTGGACATAACTAAGTAGAGGAAGAGGGTTTCACCTAGCAGTACTTGAGAAAGAATGAGAGGTTTGGCCATGCACTGTTTCTGTTGTTAGAAGGTCACCTCAGACTCAGTGTTCCATTTGAAGGCCTGCCGGAGGACTTTAAAGAATGAAAGGCATTTGTCAATTGCTCGCGAAATGAAACGGTTGAGGGCGGCAATCTTACATGTAAGCCGCTAAACCTCTTTGATCGTTTTGGGAGACAGCATTTTTTTTAGGGCCTTGATCTTTTCTCGGCTGGCCTCAATGCCTCGTTGGCTGACCATGAACCCCAAAAACTTACCAGACCCAATGCCGAAAGCGCACTTTTCCGGATTTAGTTTCATTTGATACTTGCGCAAGGTTTGAAAAGTCTCGCGCAGGTCTGTCAAGTGGTCGGAGGAGAGTTTGTTCTTGACGAGCATGTCGTTACCGTAAACTTCCATGTTCCGACCTATCTGGTGTTGGAAGACGGCATTAACTAGGCGTTGGTAAGTGGCTCCAGCATTCTTTAAATCGAACGGCATGACACGGTAGTGATAAGCCCCTCCTGTCAGTGATAAAAAAAGGTGTGCTCCTGGTTGGCCGCATGCATTAAGATCTGATTATAGTCGGAGAAAGCATCCCTGAAACTAAGCATCTGATGTCCCGCAGCTGCGTCGACTAATAGATCTATCCTATGAAGGGGGTAGCTGTCTTTAGGACAGGCTCGGTTGAGGTCAGAATAGTCGACGTAGAGTCGCAATTTGCCGTTGTTTTTGCGAACCAAGACCACGTTAGACAACCATCTGAGATAGTCCACATTTTTTATGAACTGGGCCTTCAGCAGCTTGTCAACCTCAGCGACAATAAGGCTGTTATGTTCCAGATGAAAAATGCGTTGCTTTTGGCGAAACGGTTGGAATTGGGGTTCAATGCTAAGATGATAGGTAATAAAAGAGGGTCGATACCTAACATGTCTGAACGGGTCCAAACAAAGACATCATTGTGCTCGGTTAAGAAAGCCGTGAGATCGGCCTTGGCCTGAGATGATAGCTGGCTGCCAATTTTTGCCGTTTTTGTTGAATCGGTAGGATCGACAGGTACTTCAACAAGTTCCTCCACTAGTTCCCCTCCAACTAACTCTTCATCATCTCTAACATCAAAGCCTTCGATGATCATAGCTTCTTTCATTTTGACTTCCTTTAATGAGGCGACATAGCATTCTCAGGCGATCGTTTGTTCACCTCTCACGGTGCCAACCCTCCTAGTCAGTGGGAAATTTCATGGCCAGATGGTACGTGGAAGTTACAGCTTGAAGGGTATTAAGGCCGGTGCACCCTAATATGATGTTGTAAATAGAGGGACAGCCGAAGATGAAGAAAGTAAGGAGTTTGGTGGACTGTCGTGGATATTCACCGATGGTGATGGGGAGGTCGATGGAGCCCATACATGTGACTCGATCGCCGATGAAGCCCACCGGGGGGGTTTATAGAGGTGACAACTTTTCTTCCCCGACCTTTAGTTGGCGGTAGGCGTTGAGGAAGATGATATCTGAGAAGTTGCCGTTGTCAACCAGAACTCTCCTGACTTTGCAGTTTGATAAGAGAGCAGAGATGACCAGGGGGTTGTCATGAGGATAGCGAACGCCTATGCAGTCTGCCATTGTAAAGGTGACCGACTCAGACTATTGTTTGGGTTGCTTGTAGGGTCGGTCCACTATGGTTACTTCTCTATTAGGGCCTTGTCGAATTTTTCGGAGCTCAGCTCGTTGTGCCGACCACGACGGTCTGCCGCACACGAGGCCGCCGACAATGACCCTTATTTCACCTAATGGGACTGGAGGGTCACCGTGAGCTCGGGGTTAGTATTGAGGCTGGTCATCATTCTGCTCAGTTTGTGCTGGGCATCGAGGGGGAGTGTATTGGAGGTTATGGTTTGGGGGGCTTGTTCTAGGCCTCTGCAAGGGATGGGCTACCGTGAATTGGCTGAGGCATCCTTAGCGGACCAGATCCTCGACCTGGTCTTTGAGGTTGACGCATTTGTTAGTGTTGTGGCCATGGTCTTGGTGGAAACGGTAATATTTGGATTGATCTTGTCGGTTGAAGGGAGAACTAGATGGTTGAGGCTATTTTAGGTTATAGTCTCATTGAATTTTGTTCAGTACGTGCTCCATGGGTGAGTTGAAGGGGGTGTACCGCTCAAACCGACCAGGTGGGAGGGTTGGGGCCAGTCGATCCGAGCGTGCAGGCCGATCGAGGTGTGATGGGGGTTGGTATGTATATTGGAGAGTAGAGGATTAGGCTCTTTTCTTTTGTCTTTGGAGGGTAGGGCTTTGGATGTGGAATCTTGGCGGGCTGCTAGAGAGTCTTCGACGTTCATGTATTTTTGAGCTTTGGCGAGAATGGATGCCATGGTGGTCGGGGGATTTTTGGAGAGGGAGAAGAAGAAATCAGACGGGTGTAAATCGACCATAAAGGCTGTGAGAATGACCTTGTCATCATTTTCCTCTACTTGTAGGGCTTTGGTGTTGAAGTGGGTGACGTAGCTATGTAACGACTCGTCTTCTGTCTGCTGGATGTTTAGCAGTTGGGTGGCTGGATGCAATTGTCGTTGAGCACCAATGAAATGGCTTAAGAAGGATTCGCTAAGCTAATGAAATGAGGTGACTAAGTCTGGGGGGAGCTAACTGAACCAAAGGCACGCCGACCCTTTCAAAGTGACAGGGAAGACACGACACATGATTTCGTCTTGAAAGACATGTAAGATCATGAGTGTTTGATATGCTTACATGGTCGACGGGATCGGTGGTACCATCGAAGATGTCAATTGATGGCATCCTGAACTTGGGGGGAGAGCTTTATTCCAGATAGAGGCGGTAAAAGGAGAGTTAACGATGGAGGAAGTCTTGTGCTGCATGTTCTGCATGACCCCTTATAGTTGGAGTTTCATGGCTCGTGGTTCTTCATCCCAGATGGGAGTATTGTCCCCACAAACAGGGATTGGAGGTTGAACACTGCTAGCCTCACGTTCATGAGTGGCCATATAGTGTGGTAAGGGGTGGTTATAAGAAGATGGTGGCATATCTTGACAAGGCTGTGAGCCTGATAGAGGAGGCTGCAGACCGTCAAGATGTGACGGTCGAGGCCGCGGAACGAATGGTGGAAATGTTTCTTGAGGCACATGTAGTGGGAATTGATGGTGATAGTGGGCTTGTTCTGGGTGCGGGAATTGCTAGCTGTGGTGGAGGTGGGATAGGCAAGTCACGCTGGAGTAAGGCATTGATCAAGGCTTGGTTCTGTTCGGTCAGTCGGTTGATGCTGTTGGTGAGTTTTGCGAAATATGAAGGCAGGTTGTTTGGGTTAGAGGGCTCAGCTTCGGGGTTACCGGCGTTGTGTTGGAAAGCCATGGATCAAGTCATAACCATCCACTTTGATGCAGGGGGTGGATGACTACGGGGTTCCTTCCGGCGACAATAAACACAACTATCGTTTCGGAATGGAATTTCCTACAAACGGCACCAACTGATGATGATCTGGTTCCAACAGAAGATGGGTCAATCTGATCCACACTTCTAACGGCTTCGCTGTTCTTGATGTCCACAGAATGTTCCTGCAAAAAATGTCCAAAAGAGAAGGTAATCCCTCGGCGGACTCTCTGACGATCGAGTTAAAATAAGAGAGATTGAGTGTGTAGTGCGAGGAAGAAGAAAAATGAATAACTTAACCTTTAATGCGTCTTGGAAACTTCCTTATATCATTTGTTCATCATTTCCTTATCCCTTCTGGACTGTCGTGTTGGCCGAAAGTCTATATTTTAGCTCGCATTGTTCATGGTGAGTCTGTCTCCTCCGTCGTGAAGGGATAGTATTTAATGCTGTGAGAGCCTCATTAATAGCTGATGCATGGTGCAATAACTTTGCAAGATCTTTGTCTGCTTACGTGTTTAGGCTTCTGTTTGGCAAGTGTTTGGATGTTATTGGTCTTGGCCTAGTGTTGATTTCTTAGAGTTATTGGGCTTTGATCGCTGGGATGTAGACTGGGCCCTGATTCGTGGATTGGGCCCTCATGGGTGTGCATCGGTATCAACTATAAATAAATAAATAAAAGTCATAATCAAATAGCATATAAAGTATAATAAAAAATTTCATGAGTCATAATTAAAAAAGAAAATTAACCATAATTAAATAAAAAAATAACATAACTTAGGAATGATATGAGTTATGTATGGTAGAATTTTTCATTTTTAAAACACTTTTTACTCAACAGCATTTATCTTTTTATTATTTATTTTTAACATTATTTGGAAAGATTTTAAAATTTTTAACATAATAAAAAACTTGAGATGTATAAAACATGATTCCCAAATTTATAAGCAACAAGTATTGGTTTAAAACAATATAGAAAATGTTTGGTAGCTCAAAATTTTGTGGCTCAAATGGCTCAAATCTGTCAAAACGACGTCGTTTTACACTCAAAATCTGTCAAAACGACGTCATTTTGAGTGATTTGGCTCGACGTCATTTTGAGTGATTTGAGCCACTTGAGCCACAAAATTTTGAGCTACCTAGCATTGTTGAAACAATACAGCGTCTTGTCACATCAATTTCTAGCATTTTTCTTTTAACATTCCCACATTAGTTATGTTATGAATATAAAAATTAAACACTATAGGAATAAATAAAATTTTATAAAATTTATTAGTGAATTTATTTAAAAATATTTTGTCCAGTAAATATTGTATCTAGATGTGTAATCTATTTTTGTGTTTCTCAAACACAATATGAATGGACAATTTTACAGAATTTGTTGGTAAACTTAGCTAAAAAAAATTGTCCATTTCTATAAATTCTGTATCTAGATTTGTAATCTATTTTTTGTATTTCTAGACTTAATTTATATGGATTAAGGGGAAATTTAACGAACTGTTCTTTTTTTTTTTTTGGGGGGGTGCATCTTGTAATATCATCTTTCCTTTTAGCAAATCACCCTAATAAAACTTCTCTTTCTTTCTTTGTTGATCAAAAAAATCACCCCATTGTTGATCCACTCCACTGACCACCACTACAACTCCCACCCTTGCTTTCCCTAAGCCCCTCCCTCAAGCTTCTCCGCTATCTTGAGGTCACAATAATTTTTTTATGCAACAATTTTTCTGTGATACAAATTATTTTATTTTATATTATTTTATTGCGTCAAAATCTCTATTCAGCTACTTTACAAAAATATATGTCCCCCATAACTAGTTTTCTCGAAGGAAACATTTTCTCTCAAATTATTTTTCCACAAAAAAAGAATAAAATTATTTTTGTATGTAAACTTAGGCCTAGTTTGGGAAGGCTAAATAAGTGCACTTTTTGATTTTTTTATGAAATATGGGTTGGGTTTGGATTGGGTTTGAAGTGATGTGTTAGAGAGGTGATGTGACTTAAATAAGATGATGTGATTTAAATAGGATAGTGACTTTTTGACTTTTTATCTTTTTTCAATCTTCCCAAACTAGGCCTTAATTATGAACCAAACGATTAAGAGAAAAATAAAGCATTTGTATTTTCTTTTGTTTTCTTTACTTTAATTTAATTTCCTCAATAAAAAAAATTATTTTTTATTTTTATTTTTGTCAACATAAACAAAAGGGTGGTTGCAAAACAAAAGATATGGGTATTCTAGTCAATCGCAAAAACATTTTAAAATTTAATTAGGTTTGGTTTGGGATACACTAAATAATACAAAAAGTCAAAAAGTCACTATCCTATTTAAGTCACATCATCTTATTTAAATCACATCACCTCTCTAATACATCACATCAAACCCAACCCAAACCCAACCCATATAAGCCAATAAGTCAAAAAGTGTACTTTTTTAGAACATCCCAAACTAACCCTTAATAAGATAAACATGAATAATAATGTTATAATCGAAAAGGAGTTTTGTTGTATTTATGTGACTTTGAAAATATTTTAAAATTAAATTAAAAAGATAAACATGAATAATAATAAAAAGAGTTTTATTTTTATGTAAACTCTACTAGTTCTGAAAGAAGAGTTGTGTTATATTTATATTACAATAATATTAATAATAATAACTTCTGGTTCTGATCATATTTATAGTTCCACCATGAAAGAAAACTTGGAGTGTATTTTTTTGGCTCAGAAGATGAGAAACCATTGTCGTTCCACAAAATTATTATCCAAGCTTTACTGGTTTATCTTCTTCATCTCTCTTTTATGTATATTTTATGCATTCATATATTCTTCTTCACGTGAATGCAAGAATGAAGATCACCATCTCATATCACCATCTCAGCTGAACCCAGTTCAGCAAAACGCTAAAAACCCAGAGAACCCCAAGAAAATTAAGCAAGACCCTAAAAACCCAGAGAATTCAGAGAAAGTTCAGCAAAACCCTACACACCCAGAGAAAACACAGCTCCACCACATTGTTTTCGGCATCGCAGCTTCGGCAAAGCTATGGAACCGCCGGAAAAACTATATCAAGCTATGGTGGAGGCCGAAAGAGATGCGAGGGTACGTATGGTTAGATAAGCCCGTAAAGGACTACGGTTGTGATTACAATAGCTCTCTCCCACCATTGAAGATATCAAGTGATACTTCCAAGTTCAAATATACGAACCCTAAGGGTGACCGATCTGCTATTCGTATCTCACGTATTGTGTCAGAAACTCTTAGACTGAGCTTGGAGGATGCGAGGTGGTTTGTTATGGGGGACGATGACACGGTTTTCGTCCCCGACAACTTGGTTAGGGTTTTAAAAAAGTATGATCATAACCAATTTTATTATATTGGCAGTTCATCGGAGAGTCATTTACAGAATATAAATTTTTCGTATAATATGGCTTATGGTGGTGGAGGGTTTGCTATTAGTTACCCATTAGCAAAAGCTCTTGCGAGGATGCAAGATAGGTGTATAGAGAGGTACCCAAAGTTGTATGGTTCGGATGATCGGATTCAGGCTTGTATGGCTGAGCTCGGAGTCCCTCTCACCAAGGAGGTTGGATTTCACCAGGTTTTTCTCTCCTCTTTCTTTTCTTTTCTTTTTTATTTTCCTGTATATATGTTTTGTTTGGATCAAATCTAATCAAATTTTCTCCTTGGAGTGTGTTTTGTGGAGAATTTTTATATTTGATCTATTTATTTCAAACTAAAAGTTTACAATATTTTCAAATCATCCTGGATAAGATTTGTTGCTATTTCGTTTATGAAAATTATATTCTTTCAGAATTTTAATACAAAAGTATTTATCAAAATGATGGTTCTTATTTTATTTTTAACAAGTATTTTCATGATATATTTTTTTTTTAAATGATAGGCTCATCATTTTGAATGTATTTTTTGTGCATATTGTATGTTTATATACTTCTTTATTATTATTTTTTAATCTAATAATTTTCCTATCTCGTTTATAGGATTTCTTCCTTTGAACATTAAAACAAAAAACGTAGTCTTTAATGGGAATACTCAAAAAGAGTTTATATTGGATTCTATGTAGGACTCCTCATGAATCATGAATTACTACCATTTAAGACTCTTTAATAAATAATTTCAAATTATATTGAGTAGGGACTATTCAATCAATTAAATGAGAGATGAGATCGGTTCTACTCAAGTCATTTTATAAGTCTTGTAGTAGAATTAAGCTATATAGTGGATTGTGCCTCGAAATGTATATTACATTCTATTTTTATTTTTTATTTACTTTTTCTTTTCTTGTGATCATTTTATATAAGATTCATTAAACTTGGTGATGGTCCAAATATTGGGTATGACCAATCAATAAATGGTTTTAAATGATGTTGAGTAAGGATCATTTAGTCAATTAAATAAAATAACCAAATTCTAGTGGGATGTTCCTATAAACATATTACATTCCATTTGTTTTTGCAACAATGATTCATCCCACTAATTTGGGAGCACTAATTGACCACTAATAAGGTGGAAATTCAACCAAAAAAAAAAAAAAAAACACACAAGAGCAACACATCCCTTCATATGGGATTCACATCATTTTAGAGCTATTAGTGCTCCTCTTTTTAGTGGTCTCACTCATTTTTCTTGTTTTTATTTATTTTTACATTTTTTCCTATGATCATGATATATAAAATTGTTAGGAATTACATAATAGTAGAAGGTAAGATGTGTTCCACATAACTCATTTTGATCGATTTTATTAGTCGGTGAAATCATTCTCTGTGATTATTATCTGCTAAATTATAATTAGCAATTTCTTCTAGTGATCAATGATGTGCTTTTAAAAAATTACCATTTTCAAAATTCTCATAAGAGTTTGACAAACAAGTTTTTTTTTATTATCAAATTTTATAAGACCAAAAAAGAAAAAAATTTATAAGACCAAATCAAAGGGTTGGGGATACCTGAGTACCAAAAAAAAAAAAAAAAAAATTTATAAGACCAAACGCACATATGCTATAATTTCTTCTTCTTTTCCTTATTATTTTATCTCTAACAATGATTTAATGTATGTTGATCAGTTGGACCTGTATGGAAACATCTTTGGGCTTCTCACAGCCCACCCCATTGCACCGCTAGTCTCACTGCACCATCTCGATGTGGTTGACCCCATATTCCCCAACGTGGACCAGGTCCGAGCCCTAAAACGACTCAAGCTACCCATAAAGCTCGACTCTGCTGGGCTCATGCAACAGTCCATATGCTATGACAAGTCCAAAAAATGGACCGTTTCGGTCTCATGGGGCTACGCAGTCCAAATATTGCAACCCACAGTCGCAGCCCGTGCAATGGAAAAGCCTGCAAGGACTTTTCTCAATTGGTACAAAAATGCTGATCACACTGCATTCACCTTCAACACTCGCCCAGTTAGTAGAAATCATTGTTGGAGGCCCTTTGTATATGTGTTGTCTAATGCTCTATACAATCCTTCTACCAATCAAACTGCGACCGAGTACATTCGGTATCGGGCCTCTGACCCGAAAAAATGCAAGTCGAATATGGCTGACCCTTCAAGCATTCACAGAGTCGAGGTTTACAAGAAGCCCGATCCGTATATGTGGGACAAGGTATTTCAATTTTGTGTCTTTCATTGTGTTTTTGTAAAAATTGGACAAAAAATCCTAAATTTTTGCTTAATTTTTTTTCTTCTTAAAATTCATAAAAGCCAAGCAACACATTAAATTTTTAGAAGGAATTTTGAGAAGTTTGAAAGTATTGAGTAAAAGATTTGTTGTTCATAAACATTGAGGAGACTGATTTGCATTTCCAAGCTCTCAACTTATGACACAACATTGATAAAATTGTTGTACTACATAGTTACTAACACATTAATAGATTTTGTTTCTGGTTTTTTTGTTTTTTGGCAGGCTGCAAGAAGAAATTGTTGTAGGATCTTGCCAACAAAAAAGAAAAACACCATTGTGATAGAAGTAGGTGATTTAAGAGAAGATGAAATCATTGGATTATAGCGACGAAAGATTTATTTATTTTTTTATTTTTTCCTCCAAAATAAGGTATTGGCTTCTCTCTCTCTCAAACACACTGATTAACTACTGACTAAAATTTTTAATGTAAATGAAAAACTCATTTTAATTCATTTATAGGAGTTTGAGTTTGATTATAGTTATCAAGTTATTTGACATATACTTTCCTTTGAATTAGCTAAGAAGATAGTTTATTAGCTAAAAATTATTTTAGAAATTAACTATTTTAGTTTTTTATGAAAATGCGTGTAGAAAAGTGAAGAAAATAATTGATTTTTGGATAAATTATGCAAATAGTCTCTGCAATTTACACGATGTGTCAATTTAGTTTGTTTCAATTTGTTCAATTTTGCCTCTTAATTTAAAAAATTGTGTCATTTTATTCTAATAAATAACGATTGTTAAGTTTGGTGAACGGATTGTTTTAAATTGACATATTATGTAAACTACAAGGACCAAATTGACACATTATGTAAATTACTACTAAACTTAACAACCGTTATTTATTAGACCAAAATGACACAATCTGTTAAATTAGATAGCAAAATTGAGCAAATTAAAACAACAGAGATCAAATTGACACATCTCCTAAATTATAGGAACTATTTGTATAATTTACCCGTGATTTTTTTGTAGTGATTTTTTGACATTTTGACTATTTTAATCTATTGTCAAAATAACATGTAAAAAAAAAATATTAATTTGTTTAACACGTTTTTAGTTTTTTTAATTATTTTAATAACTTTTTTGAATAGCTTATGGATTTTTTTAGCACATAAGCGATTTGGCCCTGTTTGGTAAAGTTATGAGAAAGTGATTATAATTTATACCTTAACAACTTATAACTTATAACTGTGAATATAAGTTGATTTTTAACTTATAAATTAAGATTTTCCTCCTTTACTTAAAGAATAAGTTGATTTTTAACTTATAAAAAGTTATAAACTGCATTTTTAAGTTGAATCAAACATATCAAAATAATTTAAATTAAATTAAAAATTAAAATAATTTTAAAATACACCCTACCAAACAAGCTTTTGTAAAAAAAGACGAGTGTTTTTACCAAAATGAAGAATGGGTGTTGGGCGGACCACGTAGGGCACGTAGGCCGTTGTCTCGACACTGACATTTGTTGATTGATCATCAAGTTGGGTACAGATGGCTAAACAAAGGCGGTGTTGAATAAGGCCTAATTTGGAAAGATTAAATAAGTGTATTTTTTGATTTTTTATGAAATATGGGTTGGATTTGGGTTGGATTTGAAGTGATGTGACTTAAATAAGATGATGTGACTTAAATAGGATAGTGACTTTTTAACTTTTTGTCTTTTTTCAATCATGTCAAACTTGACCTAAGTGTTGGTTTTAGAATTGATTTTTTTAGTTAAAATATGAAGAGTAAATAATTGAAATGTTTAGGAAAATAATTTTGGCTTTTTACATTAAAAAAAAGTGCAAAAATTGGAGGTAATAGAATTTTTTTTTTTTGACTTTATATATGATTTTTAACTATATTAACCAATTACAATCAAACAAGGCTCAAATTCTCACAAATATCATTGGAGTACAACTTTCACTTTCCCGAGTGCTTGTGGGATAGTTCATCAAAAATGCTAGAGGCCCCAAAAATTCTACCAAAAGTTTTACCAAATGTCTCACATAGGTGTGGGACCCACATGGGACCCACATTGTGTGGGTCCTACACCCATGTGAGATATTTTGTAAAACTTTTGATAGAATATTTGGGGTCTCTAGCATTACTCATAGTTCATAGTTACACTTATCTACCACTTTTATTTATTAGCACCTATATTTTGTGACAACTTTGTACACCGACACTATTTAAGTACTTTAATTTAATGTATTATTTGGCACCCCTAAATAAGTGTTTTGCACGTGACATTTTTATTTTTTATATATATTTTATTTATAAAAAATAAAAAAATATATTTATTTAGATCATTTTAAACAATCCATATACCTATATATTTTCATGTATATATAATTAACCTAGAGTGAACTATGATTGATAAAATTACACTAGGTTTGAAATGTTAATTTTATTTATTTAATAATAATGTGAAAAATATCTAGAAGGCCACATTATGTGTTGTAGCCCGTCATTTAATTACATTTAGAATTGACAATGCTTTTAAGAATGGCCTATTAATATTCATAAATGCTATATATGTCATGTACTTAAATTTAAATTTGAATGTATAATAAAAAATTTAATTTATTGTGATGCAATATACAATCAAAATGAATTTGATACATAAATTTCAACTTGTAGGCACTTTTAATATTCCTATATTTTTTAATATGTAGCATTACTAATCAACATAATCAAATGATAACATTAATCATGGGTAAGTTTGATGGTTGTATAATTTTTTTACTGTATTTTCTACTATTGACGCTTTAATGAGGACTACCACGTATCACTTATTTATATAAGACGCTTGGCATAAACTAAACAAAGGTATTTATTTGGATTGTATCATTTCTCAATTTTTTTGTGCAAATTTTCATAAAAATTTAAAATATATTTATTTAAGTCATTTTAAACAACCTCTTAACAAGTATATTCAAATAGAATCACTTACGATATAGACGTTAGTACAAAATAATAACAAATAAATTAATAATATATAATATTTGTTTACTTCAATTTACAATTAAGGGCATGTTTAACAATTTAAAATAATCAAAAAGTCATTATCAAAAAGTCAATTATTTTTTTTACTTTTTTACACGTATTTTTGTAGAAAATTAAAAGTCAACTAAAACAGTTAGTTCCCAAGAGGATTTGGCTTTTCTTAAGTTATCATTTCAATTTAAAATAGCGTTTAGGTTTGGTAAGTCTATTTTTTTGACCGATTTAATGATCTGAATTCTTCACTTTTTAACACCCATTGAGTATAATATTAATGTAAAAAATTAATATGATTAGATATTAATAGTTATATGTTTAAATCATTTTTTCTTTTATATAAAATGAACGACAAACGTGATTCAAGTAAATAGTTATCAATATTCAATAATTTTTATTTTTTATATGAATATTTTAGTCAACAAATCATGAACAGTTCAAATCACTAAATTCTATCCAAAAATAGAATTATCAAACCCTTCTCAAATTGAGATTACCAACAACAACATGAGAGAATCCCAACACTTTCCAAACAGCCCTCAATCAATTGTAGTATAACTTTAGTGGCTTCTGTTTACCTTATTAGTGATTATTTTAACTTTTATAAAAATATATGCAAAAAAATAAAAATAAAATTATACGATACCTTATAATAAATAAATAAATAAATAATTTATTTAAGTGGTTGCCGCAGCTCTTCGTAATAATAAAGCGAGAACATCACATCATAATGAAAAGAAGCACATGACATGATGCACCCCATGCTTTTCCTAAATCATACAATTGGCAACAAGTGTGTACGTGTAGATTAGGAGGATCTTATCTCTTATTTGTATTTTGGGTTAAAAACACAAAACTTCATACATTCATTAAAACCTTAATTTAGTCACTTATTTTTAGTTCAAATTAGAATGTTATATTTGGGTCAATTTATTGTTAATAAATTTAACAAAAGTTAGCAATAAAAAAATCAAAGTAAATTTTTTTAAAAATACAAAAAATAAAGTGAAATTGTAAGGAACATGTAAAGGTATAAAGAAGGGAGACAATTGTCATGCATTTACTTACATAACAGGTTTCATAAATTTTAAAGTCAAATTGATGAGATAGTAACATCGTGACAAAACTCAGTAAAATTTTTGTTTGTTTTGATGTGAAATATTTTTGTTAAAAATATTTTATTTATTTTTTGTTGTTTAGTTAAACAAAAAGTAAGTAAAATATTTTTTAAGAAAATTATTTTTGTATCATTTTCTTAAAAATAACTTACTTTTAAAAATTAGTTTTACAAAGTTAACTTTTACTTATTATTTTTTCAACACATTTGATGTTTTAAATAAATATCTTAACTCACTAAAAAGTCATAAATGACATTTTATTAAATCAAAATTTCTCTTTTATACAATAAAATATTTTTGTTTTAAGTGTCAACTAAATGTCGAATATATATATATATATATATATATATATATTTTTTATGTGTAAAATTAATTAACAAGAAAAACATTTTTTTGTGTAAAATATTTTATATCAAAATAAATGAAGCCTACGTACATACAATTTTTACATAAAATAAAATATAGAGGTAAGACAAAAGATGAATCACAGTGTCCCATTTCATGAAAATGCTTTGGGTTGGTAACACACTAAGCCTCCGTTTGGGAAGTGGATTGGCTTTTTGACTTTTTTGACTATTTTAGCCTGGGCTTAAAAGCTTGGTTTGGGAAGTACTTTTTGATTTTTTTGAGTTTTTTTGTGAGAGAAGAATGTAATGATTATGGGTTGGATGTGATGTTTTGTTTGTTATGGCTAAAATAACCTATTTTGTTTTTTATGGCTAAAATAACAAAAAAAACTCAAGAACCAACTTGCCAAATAGAGGCTTAGGCATTTTCGTCTCTACCATCGATGCTCATCAACACGTGATTTTGGGAAGGAATTTGTTTTGGGCATTCTCGAGCTGCCTCTTCCAATTTGCTGAAGAGAGCAATGAATGCGCTTATCTCGCTAGTTTGCATTTGCATTTTACCCACCAAAAAAAATAAAATAAAAAATGGTTGGATTCCCTTAACCTCACGTTTGTTCAAGGAGGGATTTAGGATTATATATGATTTTGAGGGGTCAAAGTATGTTTATCTTCTAATTAATAAAATTTGAAATTTAATACTAATTTTTATTAATATGAAAAAAAATTAATAATGTCACGATAAAATATTGAACTATATATTTCTCGTCAACATAGTTGAGTATAAAAAGATGATCATACAATTGAGAATATTTTTTTGTTCATATTCACTTACAAAAAGTAGTAACTATTTCTACATACATTTATTTACTAAAATTAGGCATCTTCAATTGATCAAACACTCGAGTAATGTTTTTTTCAATGTACGTAATCAAATAACTAGCCAAAAAACCATCTTCCATAATGTTGCGCAATTTAGACTTAACGAGTTTCATAGCTGAAAATGCATATTCTGATGTAGCAGTTGAAACAGGTAAAGCCAACACAAGACGGATCAATCTATCAATAAGAGGATAACTTGTTCACTTTTTTTTTTTGCCAACATTTGACACAGCTTAGAAATGGTTGACAGCTGAAACTCGGGAAGTGGAAATATCAAGCTCATAGTTTTCAACTGATACTTCAAATGTAATTTTTCTTGCTCGGTGAAATCCATGGGATACAATTTATTTGCAAGATTGCAAATATCCTCAATTTTGAATGATCTATAATCATTCATAGGATCCAAAGCTAAGCTAAGAACAAGAAATTCCATTATATTTTCCTTAAACCTATTGTTTAATTTTTGTAACTAAAAATCAACTGTAATTAGGGACTACTGTATATAATTTTGAAATTATCTAAAAATAATTTGGAGGTATGAATTCCTATAATTTTAAATTATTTTAAAATTTCTACTATAATATATGATATTTTTTAAAAAAAAATTGGAATGCAACCGCCCCCTTTCCAGCCCCCTGGATCCATCCTTGCCTATGTTTGGTTAAAAAATTTAAAAAGAGAATGCATAAATATCAGTAAAATATAAATAAAATACATTTATAATTTATTTAATTATATATATATTTTTTCTTTTTCTTATTTTTAAGTTTTTTTTTTTAATTTTTTAATCAAACCCAACGTTAGGTGACGGTATGTTTAAATCCCTTCGGAGCGGGCGCGAGGGGAAAAGTGGTATAGGATTTCCTTAAAAAATTCCTTTGGTCCGTAGTAAAAAATTGATTGTCACAATTATTAAAAATAAATGAATGAAAGAGATATTGGGTTCGTCTGGTTTGTATTTTTAAAAAAAAATTAGAAATTTTTTTTTACAAATAAGTTTTTAAAAGTAATCAAATCAAATAAATTTTCCTAAAAAAATTTCTCAAAACTTGTAAACCAAACAAGTTTTCCGAACAAATCTCTTTCTCACACACATCAAATCAATCACTTTTTCCAAAACTCTCTTTCAAAATAATTTTCCAAAACATCTTTTAAAAAAAACCAAATCAAACAAGTTTTCGTACTTTTTATCTCTAAAACACATCTCTCAAACACAAACCAAACATACCCATTTTTTTTATGATATATATATATTCAACTTTTATATGTGGTATAATATCATTTATTTTTATCAATTATTTTTAAATAAGCAAATTAACCTTAAGACATTATTTAGCATAAATTAAATAAGTGTATTTATTTAGGTCATATTATCTCATTACTTTTTTAGCACATATTTTCATTCAAAGTCAAAAAATATATTTATTTAGATCATTCCAAACAACCCTTAAATATGTATATAGGAATAGTGGGAAAGAAAATAGGGTTGAGTTCTCTCAAATTTAAAGCTGAGTGACTCATAAAATCTATTTTGATGATCCAAATTGTGTTCATGTTGTAGAGTACTCAATATATATCATTCATGAAAAAAATGAGGTGAGAGAACTTGAGGGAGTGGTTTGGATGATTGAAATGGGAAATGTTGCGGGCCTCACAACTCTTAATCTCAAGTTGATCATTTCAATTTGAGAGAACGTATAGATTTGGTAGATTCATTTTGGGACCGATTTCGTTGACATGAATTAATACTTTTTGGGACTTGTTGAATATAATATTTCTGTAAAAAATTCAAAATGATCGAATATTGGTAACTGTATGTTTGAAACAAATTTCAATTACAAAAAATAAATGGCTATTCTTAAAATTATATTTGTAATCCATTTTTTAAAAACAAATATGATTTAAATATATAAAGCTCAAGTTAAGTATTTTAGTTGACGTTTTAGCTATTTTAACCTTGTTAAAAAAGTTCTATTTGGGAAGATAGTTTAACTATTTTAGTTGACATTTTGACTATTTTAACCTTGTTAAAAAAGTTGTATTTAGAAAGATAGTTGAAATTTTTTTTTTAATTGATTTGATTATTGTGAGAGAAAAATTAAAATGATTGTGATTTGGATGTGATATTTTATCTTTTTAATTATTTTAACCTATTTTGGCCTCTCTTGGGTACATAAAAAAGTAGCTTATTGACTTATTTTAATCATATTGGAGTCTTTTGAGAAGCTATTTTTACTCATTTTGGGTTATATTACATCTCACATAACTTACTGACAAAAAGGCAAAATAAGTTAAAAAAGTTAAAAAGTCAGGTTGCGTTTGGTAGAGTTTTGTAATTATGATTTGAGAGTATGAGTTGTATTTTGAGTTTGTGGGGTTTGAAATTATGATTTGAGTGTACAAAATTTATTTGATAAAGAGTTTTGAAAATAGATTTGAAAAGAGTTTTGATTTGAGTGGAGAATTGTTGATATAACATTTAATATTTGATACAAAAACTTACAACTCATAACTAAACATACAACTCAAAATTATTTTAAAGCAGATAAAAAAATTTAAAAATTTCAGAAAATATTTTTTTGCGATTAAATAAAAATTAACATATAAATTGCAAAAAAAAAAAAAAAAATCACTATTCCAGTCAACTGGCCGAACGGCCGGTCAGGCAAAATTTTCAAAAAAAAAAATTCTGAAAAGCGCGGCTGCGACAGAACTCTCTGCAGAGTTTTGGAAACGTGATTCCAAAACTCCTACCAAACACCATACTTGAATCAAGGTGCAGAATTATGATTTGATAACACAACTAAACACACAAATTTTTACGAACTTCTTAAAACACCTTATTACCTTTATACTTTTTTGCATTTTTTTTTTAATTGTTAATAAGCAAAAAAAACTAGTTTATAAGTTATACCCAAAATAACCATTTGTCCTTATTGGCTATTTTAGTCCAAAACCTTCAATCATCTTGATTTTTTTGTACAATTATTTTACTTAATGAATTTTAAAAAATAAATTATTTGGTCTCATCAAAATCACTATCAAAATAGACTTAAACTAAACGTTTACTTAAATTGAAATAACAATCGGAGAGAAGTCAAATTCTTATTGAAATGGTATTTATAAAGGAATAATGTTAGGTGTTAAGAAAAAATTTCATGATTTTTAAATTTTTTTTGATTAATATGTAGTATTTTATTGTGTCTGTAATTTAAGAATAAAGAATCTTCATAAAAATTTTCATGATACTTTTTTTTCATAATATCTAATATTTATAGACTCCAAAACATTTATCAAATTTTCTATAGTATGAAGTGAAATCCATAGTTTTTTTTATAAATTTGTGTTTTGAGATAAATTTTAAAAAAATAAAATTAGGAGAGAGAGTATATTAATTTTTTTTAGTTTGTTTGGTTGTATATTTTAAAAATAATTTTGGAGTTTGGGAGTTTGAGATAATTTGATATTTTATTGTAGCTGAATAGATGTATGTGAGAAAAAACGTGATTGAGAAAGAGAGATGGTTGATGTGTAGAAGGGAGAAAGTGATTTTGAAAAAAAAAATTTATCAAAAAATATATTTTGAAATATAAACCAAACAAGGCTTTAGCCTTTTAGGATTTTTTATATTAGCATAAATTTTTAATCTTTTTTAAATCACATTATTTTTTATTTTTTTTTATTTTTATATAAAAAATAAAAAAAAATTATTTAAATCCCATCAAACACCTTCTACTATTTTTTTTTCTTATAATAGTGAAACTCTTTTTCCACATTAAGCCTTTTTGGCTACTTGATTTTTAGCCTATGTTTGGCAAGAAGGTTTGGGTGGGTTTGGGGCTAAAATAGCCACAAAAAACAAAATAGGCTATTTTAGCCACAAAAAACAAAACATCAAATCCAACCCCTAATCATTACAATCCTCTCTCATAAAAAAAGTCAAAAAAGCCAAAAAGCCCTTCCCAAACCAGGCTAAAATAGCCCAGGCTAAAATAGTCAAAAAGCCAAAAAGCCAAAAAGTCAACCCACTTCCCAAACGGAGGCTTAGTCTTTTTTTTTTGAGTTTGTAACAAAAGTTAAAAAATAATTTTTTTATGGCATTAAGGAAGTTAGTTTTCAGCCACTGGTAAAATTATAATTTTACCATTTATGAGTGAAAATATAAAACACAGGTAAAATTATAAATATTTTAACAAAAAAGACTTAGACCCCATTTTGGAAGCAACCCCCACGACCCCCTCCGCCTTTCATTGGTCAAAAATTTATTTTTTATTTTTTCTTTTCCCTCAATCACCAACCCCACGTGTGTGTGGAGGTGGTCGAGGTAAGAATCTGAAAGGGTCTGTATCGCCACTAATATTTTAAATTAAATGAAGATAGTTTGATTGTTTTATTATAATTTGATATCATAAATAAATATTAAACAAAAAAATAAAAATAATTTTTTATCAACTTCTCAATCACTTATCTAAAAAAAACCAAAAACTTAATTAAAAATAATAAAAAAAATACTTTTGAGCATTTTTCCAAAACATCCCTAAATACTTTAAAAATCTTCTTGATTTCCACACCAAAAATTCAAAAACAGAACAACCCATGACGTCATCCTAATCCGTCTCCTTTTACCCTCTCTCCCCCTTTAAAACCCGAACCGACACTCACTCATTTCTCCACCAACACACACTCTCTCTCTCTCTTTCTCTCTCTCTGCAGCAAAAATGGCGGAAAAGAGCCTCTTGTCTCACATTCTCTTCGTTTTGGCTTTCTGTCTCTACCTTCACTCTGCTCTCTCTCGCAGCTTATCGTCATCGGAGTCAGAAGAAGAGCACTCTCACTCTCACTCTCACTCTCACTCTCAATCTCACTACACAACCACAACTGTCTTGGATGTATCAGCTTCCATCCAACGAACTCTTCACCTACTCTCTTTCCATCCCCAACAACAACAACAACAGAAATCAATTACAGTACCTTCATCTTCATCATCTTCGTCGTTCTCTCTCTCTTTACACCCTCGCTATTCTCTCCTCAAAACCAACCACAAGGACTACAAAACCCTAACTCTCTCCCGACTCGACCGCGACTCCGCCCGACTCAACTTCATCAACACCAAGCTCGAGCTCGCCCTCAATGGCGTCAATAGGTCGGTGCTCAAGCCGGTGGCGACGACCATTTTAGATCCGGAGAGCCTCCAAACGCCCTTAACCTCCGGCGCCAGCCAAGGCAGCGGCGAGTACTTCTCTCGAGTCGGCGTCGGCTCTCCTGCGACTCAGTACTACATGGTGGTCGACACCGGCAGCGACATCAGTTGGCTCCAATGTCAGCCCTGCACCGACTGTTACCAGCAATCCGGCCCGATCTTCGACCCGTCCGGATCCTCCTCGTACCGTTCTATCTCCTGCGGATCGGCTCAATGCAGCGCTCTCGAGGTCTCAGCTTGCCGGACCGACTCGTGCCTCTATCAGGTCTCCTACGGCGACGGCTCGTTCACCGTCGGCGACTTCGCCACCGAAAAGCTGTCTTTCGGCAACTCCGGCTCGGTCAACAACGTCGCGATCGGCTGCGGCCACGACAATGAAGGCTTGTTCGTCGCGTCGGCGGGGCTGCTAGGGCTCGGCGGCGGTACTCTCTCGCTCACTTCGCAGCTCAAAGCGTCTTCGTTCTCGTATTGCCTCGTCGATCGCGACTCCACCGGGTCGTCGTCGACTCTCGAGTTCAACTCAGCGACTCCCGGCGACTCAGTCACTGCTCCGTTGCTTCGAAACTCACAAATTCGTACGTATCGCTACGTCGCACTCACCGGAATGAGCGTCGGCGGGCAACCGCTGGCTCTGTCGCCGTCGGTGTTCGACGTGGACACCACCGGCCGCGGCGGTGTGATCGTCGACTCAGGAACGGCCGTGACTCGGTTGAAGACTCAGGTTTACAACTCGCTGCGTGACTCGTTCGCTAAGATGACTCAGAACTTGCCGTCGACAAGTGGGTTCTCAATCTTCGACACGTGTTACGATCTCTCGTCCAAGCAGACTGTGTCCATCCCGACGGTGTCGTTTCATTTCTCGGGAGGCAAAACGCTGAGCTTGCGACCCCAGAATTACCTGATACCGGTTGATTCCGCCGGGAAGTTCTGTTTCGCTTTCGCGCCAACAGATGGGTCCCTGTCTATCATCGGCAACATACAGCAGCAGGGGACACGTGTCAGTTACGATCTTGCCAACTCTCTTGTTGCCTTCAGTCCAAATAAATGTTAAAAAAAAAAATAATTACTTAAAAATCTTATTTATAATTGTTATGCTAGTTCGGTCTTATTTAAAATTTGAGAACGAATAAGGCCAAGTTTGGAAAGACTAAATAAGTGTACTTTTTGTCTTTTTGGACTAAAAAATTGAGGTTGAAAATATGGATGTTTGGGTTAACTTGGTGGTCGAGGTAAGAATCTGAAAGGGTCTGTATCGCCACTAATATTTTAAATTAAATGAAGATAGTTGAAAAATTTGAATTGGGAGTTGTGCAGCCGTAATTGTTGACTTTTGGTGAATAGTGTTAATTTTTTAACTTTTTAAGTAGCTTTTTGACTTTTTTACTTTTTGAAAACATTCCAAACTTGGCCTAAATCTTATTTAGTAAAATTGAAAATAATTTCAGTTTTTTTATTTTACATAGTAATATAAAATTAAAAGCATTTCAATTTTTATTTTACTTCAAGTCTTATCAGTTTTTTTTTTAAAATTAAAAATATTATCATTTTTACATAGTAATATTTCAGGTAATTATTTCAATAACTGATAAAAAAATAGAGGTTGAAGTTAAATATTTTTATTTTTTTACTTATTGATTTGATTAACTGTCTAATAAAATAAAAAATACGATTGATTTTTTGTAGTTTTAAAATTGAAAATATTATTAAATTTTTTTTTATTGTAAAATTATTTTTTAATTTTTTTACATATCAATGTTTCATCATTATGTTCTTTTATAGATATAAAATTTTTAGTTTTGTACAAAATTTTTTTTGATTTTTTGAAAAATTACATTAATTTTTTTTTAGGGAGATGCACCAATAAATTTCAAATCTTTATCTTATGACCCATTTGGTCATATATTTTATCTTACAATTCAATTAGTCCTAAGCTAATGTTAATGACAAAATAACCAATGTTACACTATGTTTTGCGCTTTCTAGTAAGGATAAATGAGAAAAATCCCAACGTGATATTGACTGAAATGTTCAAAATTCTGTAGATGTTTGTTTTCCCTCCAAACACATCATTACGCCGATGTTAATAGCCTTTTTTTTTTTTTTTGGTTGGTGTTCATCACCATCAACAATATCAACTACATCACCAACATCAACTACATCACCAACATCACAAATAAAACATCATAAAAAATCATCAATATCATAAAAATATCATCAAACATCGTCAACTACATCACCAACATCACTAAAAAAAATTTCATCAAAAAACGTCATAAAAATATCATCAAACATCAACATCAAATATCAACAAAATATCATCAAAAAACATCAACAATATCAAACTTTAAATAAACATCATCAACCATTGAACATCACCAATATTAATCATCAACATCCAGTAATGATTTTGTGTTTTTTACAACATTAGCCATCACCAACATTAGCCATCTCTCTCTGAATCCAGTAATGATTTTGTGTTTTTTACAAAGAAAAAACCCAAGCAGAGATCAACAAACTAGGAAATCATCATCAAATCAATGCTAGACATCATAAACATCAGGGCTATGATCAACATCATCAACATTAGTTCTGATCCACATCGATCCATCATCAACATTATTAGTAGACATCATCAACATCAAGGCCATGATCAACATCAAACATCATCATCAAAACAACATTAAAATCTATCTGGGAGACTCCATTGAAGGCCCAATCCAGAACTTGAGAAAAATCCTTCTTTTTTGACTTCCAAAACTTGCAAATCTTTTCTATCCATTGATCAGAATCTCGTGAAAAAGGCTTCTGTCTAGGGTTTAAAACGCAGATGAATCTATTTTTTTTCGAGGTTTTGAGAGATTCGAGAGTGATGAAGAAGGAAAAGATTCGATTTTAGACAAATGAGTATTCGAAAAATCCAATTTTCACAACTGGGTGCTCGAGAAAACTAATGGAATAGATTCGATTTGAAAAGAACAAAGCAAGCAAAGAGCTGTTTGGAGATACAAGATATTCGGGTGATGATAAAAAATAAATGTGGGTTTGAGAGAGAGAGAGAGAGAGATCCAGTAATGATTTTTTGTTTTTTACAACATTAGCCATCACCAACATTAGCCATCTCTCTCTGAATCCAGTAATGATTTTTTGTTTTTTACAACATTAGCCATCACCAACATTAGCCATCTCTCTCTGAATCCAGTAATGATTTTTTGTTTTTTACAACATTAGCCATCACCAACATTAGCCATCTCTCTCTGAATCCAGTAATGATTTTTTGTTTTTTACAACATTAGCCATCACCAACATTAGCCATCTCTCTCTGAATCCAGCAATGATTTTTTGTTTTTTACAACATTAGCCATCACCAACATTAGCCATCTCTCTCTGAATCCAGCAATGATTTTTTGTTTTTTACAACATTAGCCATCACCAACATTAGCCATCTCTCTCTGAATCCAGCAATGATTTTTTGTTTTTTACAACATTAGCCATCACCAACATTAGCCATCTCTCTCTGAATCCAGCAATGATTTTTTGTTTTTTACAACATTAGCCATCACCAACATTAGCCATCTCTCTCTGAATCCAGTAATGATTTTGTGTTTTTTACAAAGAAAAAACGCAAGCAGAGATCATCAAACTAGGAAATCATCATCAAATCAATGCTAGACATCATAAACATCAGGGCCATGATCAACATCATGAACATTAGTTCTGATCCACACCGATCCATCATCAACATCAGTGGTAGACATCATCAACATCAAGGCCATGATCAACATCAAACATCATCATCAAAACAACATTAAAACCTATCTGGGAGACTCCATTGAAGGCCCAATCCAGAACTTGAGAAAAATCTTTCTTTTTTGACTTCCAAAACTTGCAAATTTTTTTTACCCATTGATCAGAATCTCGTGAAAAAGGCCTCTGTCTAGGGTTTAAAACGCAGATGAATCTATTTTTTTTTCGAGGTTTTGAGAGATTCGAGAGTGATGAAGAAGGAAAAGATTCGATTTTAGACAAATGAGTATTCAAAAAATCCATTTTTCACAACTGGGTGCTCGAGAAAACTAATTGAATAGATTCGATTTGAAAAGAACAAAGCAAGCAAAGAGCTGTTTGGAAATACAAGATATTCGGGTGATGATAAAAAATAAATGTGGGTTTGAGAGAGAGAGAGAGAGAGAGAGAGAGAGAGAGAGAAAAGGTGAAGTGGGGGATAGGGTTTTGAAATGAGGAAGAAAAACAAGAACCAGGTGGTGGAATGATGGAAGTGATGGAATCGTCCCGTTCGGGGAAGTTTCGCCGATCCAAACTCCGATCCGGTACTGTACCGGAGGGGCACCGGCCGGTGTACGTAGGAGAAGAGATGGAACGTTCAAGATCTGATAGTGGGTATCGACAAGGCTGGTGTTTGAAACATATAAACACCCATCCAAAATTATTTAATCTGATGTTTACCATTTTGGGTTGGTGTTACAACAAACATCTTCTTCTCTCTCTTTCACCATTGATGAATAGTTGCAGAGAGAGAGGAATCGCACCCTCAAAAGAGTATTGATGTAAAAATAAATGGAATCAAATCAAACCTTCAAAAATCTGGACAAACATTAGGACCAAATGGTATATAAAAAAATTTAAAGGACTAAATGGTTTAACTTTTTTCAAGATAACATTTATGGATAATTTTTTCATAAAATTTTTAGTTTTGTACAAATTTTTTTTTTTGATTTTTTGAAAAAATACATTAGTTTTTTTTATACATAATTTTTTTTAAAATTATTTTAATTTTTAAATTGTAAAAATCAAAGCAAATATTAAATCGTCATGGTTTTTTCTAAATAATTATATTGAATGAACTATTATAGTTTGATGGGTAATTATGATTATTAACAATTTAATAAAATTTGAAAGTTTAAAAATTTTTAATTAAAATTCAATAGAGTTTAAATTTATAAATTAAAATTTGTGTAAAACTGTCTTAAAAAAATCTACTGGCGCAAAATTCGGATTATAGAATCTGTCACAACTTTCTGGCTGTAGTGTGGATTCGGTAAATATATCCTTTACACGAGAGAAGTGTGTATTCAATTTTATGATTAAATTCGGTGCAATTAAATTAGGTAAAAAATGAAAAACCAGAAGAAAAACTCTAGTGTGGTATTTGAAATTACTATGATAATGTTACCAATGATTAAGGTGGTGGTGGGATGAAAGGGATAGGATAGGAGAGGAGGTGTGTAAGAGGGACAGGTGGGGTATTTAAAGGTAATTATAGAAAAGTCAGGTGGGATATTTATTAGTGAGATTAAAGAGGACCGAACTGTACTAAAATGAGTGATGGAGTGGTGTGGTGGTGGATGAAAGTGGGGTCTATCCAAAAAAACAGATGGTATCAATTAATACTTAATGATATGGAATAATTTTTATATTTTAAAGAACTTAAATAATGAGCTATGATACATCATTAGAATTTGATTTGGTGGTTTAAAAATTGGTGTTTCAAAACATTTTCCAATGGCTGTGGCTGTAGTGGGAGTCATAAATTGTTCATTTGTGTTCCAATGGGCGACATTGGGGGCATGTATAGCAAATTAATCCAAGTTAAGAGTTAATTAAAGGTGTTGCATTTGTAAATCTTGTTGTATTTTACAAATAGTCTAAGGGTTGGTTTGGAAAATGGGTTGGCTTTTTGACTTTTTTAGCTATTTTAGCTTGGGCTAAAAAACTTGGTTTGGGAAGGGTTTTTTAGTTTTTTGGTTTTTTTGATTTTTTTTGTGAGAGAAGAATGTAATGATTATGGGTTGGATGTGATATTTTATTTTTTGTGGTTAAAATAGCCTATTTTATTTTTTGTAGTTAAAATAATCAAAAAAATTCACATATTCTTCTTCCCAAATGGTGCCTAAATCTAAGCAATTTCAAAAGGCTATATGTTGTCTCCAATTCTCAAATTAGACTCAATTGGACTGTGTTGTTCGAGCTCGTGGCATTTATCAAAAATTTTGTTTTAATGATTTAAATTGTTTATCTTTTAAATCACAATGTGTAAATTATTTATAAAAAATTTCAAGTCTATTTGGTAGTAATAATCACGTTAGTTTATTATATTTGTCTCTTAAAA